CAAGAAAATTAGTAAATATATATATATATATATATATATATATAATTTCAAGTAAATTTATATGTATATCACAGAGTTTGGCAAAATTATATACCGAAAACATATTAAAAAATTCGCAGTAAAAGTTTCTAAGCAGGATTGAAAACTTTCTAAATTTATATTTAAAGCGAAAATATAATTGTAAAATATGAGATGAGTATATGAGTATATGTTCAATAACATAAAAAATTACTTTATTTAAAATAAAATAGTATTTGAAATTTAGAGATGTCGATCATATTTTAATATATATATTTTGTCGAATATTTCGCATTAAACATTATTTCAAAATTTAGATCGTACTTTCAAATCTTGATATTTACATATTGTACCTGCATCAGGTACTATGGACAAAAGGACGGTGAATATTTTCAAGCACAATTTCTGAAAATATATCTTGAATGTTAATATTTTTCATTCAGGCTCATGTTGGACTAAAAAATTATTTGCGATTGATATATATATATATATATGTATATATATATATATATATATATATGTATTTGTAATATTGCAATCCAGTCTATTGTAAATAATTTATAACAACAAAATATATATCCATATATATATATATATATATATATATATATATATCTTTTTTTGTTACCAGTTATTTGCAATAGATCAAATTGCACAATATATCGTACATTTTTTCTCATCAAAGCCTTCAAATATTTGTTTTCAAATAATTTATCATAATACTTATTCGATAAAAACCTCCCTGTTGTTTCAGAAAGACATGGCATTATATACATGTATATAGACAACTTTATATGCAAAAGTCAAAGAAACCTCCACATTCCTAATAATATGCAAGTTACTACATATTATTATTTGGCTGCACTAATTGGCTAAATCTTTTTTCAGTCAAATTTTCATAAATAAGAGTGAATAGAGTAATAGATTAATAATAGATAAATTAAATAGATAAATTAAATTAGTACACACCTTCCATTGTTTATAATGTTGTTATAAATCTAGAATTGCATAGGACCAAAATTTGTAATAAGTACGTCACGTTGCATTAAATATGTTTATGTATAAGCTTTAGATAAATTAATATCACTAATGTATAATATTATCCGACCAAAATATGTAGTATTTTTTCAAAAATAAATTTTAGAATCTTTGAATGAATAATAAGAAATATTTTATTTTATATTCATTTTTAACATGTTCAAAAAGAAGAGATGTTAACGTATTGAAAACTATATATTTATATTCACTGTATAACAAATTCAAATGGGAATTTTTCTAAATTTTTTTTTAAATATGAAATTACGTTTGTCGTGTTTCCCTGAAAAATCTTCTTTGAACAGAATTTTTTTCAAAATGCCTAATACTTTTACTCTCTTAAAAATTTTAATTTCTAGCAACATCATCGCATGATAAATTCTGTTAGAATTTATATATTTATAGACCCATCAAACTTTTATATTAATAAAACTTCAAAAATTAATAAAATTTCAATATTTTTGTCATCTCTTATAAATAAGAGATAATAAAAGACGATAAAAAAAAAGTGTGTTGAATGATTAATATATCAAAAATGATCCTTTTAGCTTAAAAAAATATTAAAAAAGTATTTAGAGTACAATATTGTTACATCTGCAAATTAAAAATTAATATAATACTACTCATTCAATCAACAAATAATAATATAACACGTCATTCTTTCAGGCATATTATAATACAATATAAACATCAATGTATTGGTAATATTCAGCTCTTGTTTTTTAAAACTGTAATTTTATTACTGTATCAAAATTTTATAATGTTATATCTTTTTAAATCGTGTGTTAATATGTATAATTTAAAAATACACTGTTTATACATATCACAACTTAATGAAAAAAAGCGATAATCTTACGTAATTATCTGTATGCATTTTAGATTTTTCATAAAGCAACATCTCGTAAGATGAACAAGAATTTAACTGATAATGAAATATCGCGCGTTCACGCAAATAACCGCAATAAATAAGCACAATTATATATCGATACAAATATGCATCATGCTTATTATTACAAGCAATTGCATAGAACATAATTGTTAAATATATATTATGATCAAAGACCATAAGACAAAGTGTAAAAATACTACTTTGAATATGAACGTATTTTGTTTATATAAAACAAATATATAATAATATGTAATTTGCTGCTAGCACATTAAAATTTGCAATATGGAGATTTCTCGCAAATTTCTCACACGCATATACGCATACACACACACACACTCTCTCTCTCTCTCTCTCTCTCTCTTCCACGCGCGCGCATGACAAGACAGAATTAAATACGTGAAATAAGCTATATTTACATTAGGAAATAGAATACCAAACAGAATGAAAATGACGCAATAACAAATGGATATTTAAAAAAAATAATTGTGATAATCAAGAATATCGCTTCCTTGATCATACATAAGAATAAAATATTGATATCGCAGGATAATGACAGATGATATTCTGTTCAAAAATCAAATTTAAGATAATACCTTTTGTTCCTCTGTTATTTTTATAGAATAAGAACATTAAGCTTTGTCGGTAGAAGTATCTTTCATAATGTCATCTTTAGTTATATTTTGGTTCATTTGGTCATTTTCGTATTCCACAAAGTCATCAAATAAGCTTGGCCACGCTTCTGCATCATCATAAGCACCAAGATCATCTCCAATACTTTCAGCAAAGTTTAAAAACATATTCCAAGTGTCTCTAGGAATCCCGCGGATGTGATGGCATTCAAGAAAGTTGAGCCATTTCGTTAAGAGTGGAGGTTCACGTATCGTGAAAACGAGTTTCCAAAGGTCGATCGCCATATCAGCTGGTAAAATTCTTTGACCAGACGTCACGTCAAGGCCAAATCGGAATGTGAATCGATAGAGATCCTTGAACAAATCACTATTGACCGTCAATTCTTGAACAATCTCAGGCAATCGTGCCTGTATACCACGTATACTATCGACCTTCATCGCTTTTAACCCCGTGACGAATTCTTGGCGTGTGAATTGGCACATTTGTTCCGCATTTAACTTCCATGCGAGCACGAGAACTTTAAATTCATCGGGTGATAATTGTAAATCATCACAGAGTCTTTCTATACCATCAGCTAATATTACATCTTCACGAGGATCCTTGAAACGAAATAAAATATCATATTACATATATATCGCACGCACATAATTTTTCATAATCTTAAATTATAAATTAATTTATCGTTTAAATAGTTTATAACAATTCTTTCACATAGACAATATTTCTCCCTCATATATTTTTAAGAAAATTAATAAAAATAAATGCATTCTTTCATGTTCTGTACCTTGTATTGATCGAAAAGTGCGTTTAATTTACTCTCTGATGGTTCCCTTTGTTGCTTAGATTCAGTTAAATTGAGACCCGATGATGTACTGGATCGTCCTAATGGCTGTAGTCGCGCATAGAACCCTCGCGATAGGCGTAGTGTGCTTTGTACATTAGGTACAGAACCGCAATTATCAGAGCCTACATTATTAAATGTCGGTAGCATACTTGTAGATTTCCTGTTCCCATTTGCATGTGTTTCAGGCACAAAAGAACCAGATTGTTGGCAAGAGTTTGGGAACAAACCTCTGAGTTCCATTGTTTCTGTAAATATAAAAAAATTATAAATTTATAAATAAAAGAACAGTATTTGGAGAAAAATATTTATTTTATTTGAATAAATTAGCAACTCAATTTATTGTTATTATATTATTTTATAATTAACTCTACTAAAAGCCTAAAATGTATAATTATTCACAAAAGTTTCAAAATAATATCTCAATTGTACCTACCGTCTTTATGTTCAGATACAATCGATTGATCAGTGCTGATTGATGGTGGAAGTGGCACCTTGAAGCACGAAAAACAGTTTCCCATTGATGCTGACCGTACTTGACACCAAAGACAATTATGCCATACATCAATGATTCAGTCTTACATTGGCAGTCTTGATGGAAAGCTAAAGAATGACACAATATCTCATATTATTATTATTATTATTATTATTATCATAACATTTGTGCTTTATACTGGATCTAATATTTTTATTTTGTTCGATAACCAATTCACCTTCATTAAATATGCAAATTATAAGAATCGGCATGTCAGTCTAAAAGAACAATTACAGTGCCGAAAAAAATGTGGAATCAAGACCAAGCTAAGCGCCAATTGGATAAATCACACCAAAGAATTAAAGGTCATTTTTCAGTTGGCAACCTCGAGATACGAAAGCTTGGAAAAATTTTTGAGAAATCTTGGAATACAATCTCACCGACGAGACAGCCAATCAAACAAAAGCTCTCAGAACAAATCTAGAGAAGAGAGACGCAGTAAGAATATAAAGATATGAGAGTGAACAATGTTACAACAGTTATCCTCGAGAGGCCAAGTTTTATCAGAAGAAAAGAATGACGAACGCGCGCGAAATGAACAGATTAGCCTCTCAGGGAGATTGGCGGAGCATAAGAAAACCGAGAAAGACTCGTGATAATTCGACAGTAAACAATAATTCTGGTAGCGATACCTTATTATTGTATATCTGTTGCCCGACGATCTCAAGCAAGAGTTGCCGCGAGACGACACCAGACACAACAAAACGCTAGCCAGACGACAATACGCGTGCCTCGTCCGCATTCGTCGATCCTTGGAGTGGCGAGGAAAGCAGAGGGATGCTCCCGGATGTGAGAGTTATTCGTGCTCGATCGCTCGTTTTGTTTACCGACAAACTGTCCCCGCGGGAATCAGTCAACGACGGTAGAATGACGCCGTGCTGCTCCCCGTGTACCCGGACATTGTTCCTACGCGAAGACGAACGTCCGACGGTGGAATTCGGCCTGATAGCCGAGCCTGCGTCATTTGCGACGATGTTGCAATCCCATGAGACCGCGCGACGTCGGCGACAACGGCAGAGGCGAGTTCATGCCAGGTGCAACTTCCGAGAGCGCAACGCTCATCCGCGGCCGACCAAAGTCGACCACGGTCGACCACAGCCGATGTGTCGACCACACCGCTTGACACGCTTGACACGACGCGTTCACCCGCCCGTACCTCTCCGTGTGCCCGCCTTCACCACCGAGCAGACCGTGCGATCGTCCGAAAAACACCGTGATCAAGACCAACCGAGACATTCCTCGTGCCGCAGGGTGTCCCAGAGTAAAAAAGCCCTTTAGTCACCGATTCGAGTCCCCCTGGCTAGGGCTATTTGTTATTGCACTGAATTATAATATTGCGAAAATCTATTCGTAAGTCGGGGTGCAGTCCACTTGATGCTACAAATGCTTTGAAGCATTTTTTGATTGGTCAATTCATAAAATTCTTTGTTTCGATTGGTTAACGCTTCAAAACTTTTGTAGCGTGTAAGTGGATCGTAGCGGCCCCGCCGCGACGCACACCCTCCCTTCTTATTTGAGCCTCGATCTACAAAAAGTTATTTAAGACTTAAACTGTAAGAAATTGATCAACCACAGTTGAATTTGAGAAAAATAATCGATTATGATTGGTCAATTCTTATAGTTTAAAGCTTCAATCACCTATTGTAGACTAAAGCCTTGTGTCTCTTTGATTGTATATAAGTATGGGGTCTATTCTTTTTATCTGAACTGACTGCATTAATTCAGAGTTTATCTTTCTTTTCCATTGTTATAAAGAAAGATAAACTGTCAACTAGTACAACCGGTTCAGTCAAAAAGAACAGGCCTATGGATTGCTAATCTTCTTCATTTTTCCCATAAAAGAGTCAGCCAACATTGGCTTTTTACTGGCAGTGCAACCATAATGACGTCATGACAGTTCACTGCCGCAGTCGCTCCGAAATTACTATAATACTGCCAGTAGCATTAGGATTGGTTTATGGAGGTCGTAATCCATTAACTTATACCGTAATCGTAAAAAATTGACGAATCATAGTCGATTATTTTTTTATAATTCGATTGTGATTGGTCAATTGCCAATTGGTAACAGTAGAATCACCAATCAGCAACCATAGTCGGGCAACCGCTAGTCTGATATAGCCTTGTAAAAGTTGTCAATGTCATTGTAGTCTCTTGCGTTGGTATTCGCGACTAGGGACAAATATGGCTCGTTTCCATTCGAATCGCTGAAACTTGAAACGCGTGACAGTCGTAAAAATGTAATCGGAGTTTCGTTGTCACGGGTATGGGAATCACAGGAATCACGAAATCACATTGGAACCAATTGAGTCTTGTCTCTGTATCGATAGTTGAGAGCTACCGGTCTTTCCTGTCATCAATTGTAATCGATCATTTACTAAAATTTCCCGTACGTAAGTAAGTCGATCGAAACGTCATCTTACCTTTCGTGTAATCAAAGAGAATTGATGCATATTTTTCACATTGATTGCAACGAATCAATATAGAGTTGTTGATTATGAAATATTTACATTTTTTTTTAATTTTTGATCATTTATAGCTTTTTTACCTATCCCTTTAGATACGTCTTCTTAATGTCGTATTATTGGAAAAGAAATATGTTGTCACTTCAAGGTTTTGAAAGTATTGCGTTCAATCATGTAATAATGATTTTTTTTTTTCGCAGAGTTTTCGGTACATATGTGTTACGAGATAAGTTGTAAACTTAAATCGAAATCTGCCACAAATACAATTTTAGACTGACTTAAGATCGTGAACGATTGTAATAGTCGATAAAATTTTTGTATTTTTATGTTTCAGTTGAATTTCAAGTTTAAATTTGAGACAATTTATCATTAATCTCTTGGTTCAATTTGATATTTAACAATTTTGATAATCTTATAACCTTATAAAATATCTTGTATTAATAAAGATTGGATTACGTTCATGTATATAAATTTATTTGGAGAATAAATATAGGCAAAATGATATAATTAATGAATATAAGTGGTTCAGTAAAGGATTAGAGGATCTGTATTGTGTAACTTTGAGGGTAGGTTAAAGATACCTCAACACTTTTCCATTCGAAGTATAT